CCTTTTGAAATCTTTTTTCAAATCTTTCCTTAATTTTTTTTTTCCTTTTGCTCGAGCTATTCTACATTCAAGAGCAAGCTTTAGTGTCTCTTTTTAACATAATTTTGGCCTTTTCTTTCTTTGTTGTCTTTTAAACGACATTTTGCTTTCTTCGGGAGCTCTGGTGACAGTGCTTACACGTTCGGCTGCTAACTGCAAGGTCAGGTGTTCAAAGCCACCAGCTGCTTCTCAGGAGAAAAAACAGGACTTTCTACTCCCATGAAGAGTTACAGTCAATGTCAGAAACTCAAAGAGGCAGTTCTACCCTATTCTATCTGAGGGTCACTATGAGTTGACATCAATTCGATGGCAGTGAGTTTGATTTTTGGTTTGCTTTTTTCATGCATGATTTCCCTGATGTCACTCAGAAGTGTTCAATATGTCAATTCTATTATTGATGGTCTGTAAATGCAGGTAAGATATACTCAAGGTCATACTTTGGGTCTCATGGTCTTGAGCTGCTAACCACAAGGCCAGTGGTTCAAACTCAGTAGTCACTCCAAGGAAGCGAGATGAGGCTGTTCTGTTCCCAGAAAGATTTAAAGTCTCAGAAACATGGAGAGGTGGTTCTACTCCATCCTCTGTCCTCATAGGGCTGCTCTGAGTCTGAAAGGGCTTGATGGCTGTCGGCTTGGTTGTATTGACCTTGTATATGAGCTGCTCCACAGTCAGTCCTTGATCGTATTGAATTTCTCTATCAGCTCTTTCCATAGATGTAGTTGATCTGATTCCTATGTATTCCATCAAACAGGATCAATGTGTATAGTCACTGTGGTCTCCAGCATTGTTTCTATCACCAAATCATATTTCCCAACTACTGATCTTATTCTTTGTTTCAAACTTTTGGATTTTAATCACCAATAATCTATGGATATTTTTTTAAATTTTATTTTATTATTATTTTAAATCATTGTATTAGGGGCTCATACAACTCTTATCACAATCCTTACACACATCAATTGTGTAAAGCACATTTGTACATTCATTACCTTCATCATTCTCAAAACATTTTCTCTCCACTTAAACCCCTGGGATTAGGTCCTCATTTTTCCCCTCCCTCCCCGCGCCCCCCTCCCTCATGAGCCCTTGATAGTTTATAAATTGTTATTTTGTCATATCTTGCCCTGTCCGATGTCTCCCTTCACCCACTTTTCTGTTGTCCGTCCCCCAGGGAGGAGGTCACATATAGTTCCTTGTCATCGGTTCCCAATCCATGGATCTTGATTACATGTTTGATCAATTCCAAACTGCAGAAGTTGATAGAAATGTTTAGTTTCATCATTTTTGGCATTTAGAAGTTGGTGCATATAAATTTGATTAATTGTATTAATACCAATTGTATTAATTAATATTCCTGTAGTCAGATGGATATTATCATAGTCTATCCTTATACTACAGAATAGATCTGGAAATGAATGATATGCCATTCCTTTCCAACTTGTCATTTCTGGCATAGCAGACCATATACGTATCTGATTCAAAATGATCAAGTCCAGGCCATCTCATGTTACTGATCCTATAATATTGATCTTGATGCATTCCATTTCCCTTTCAATGACTTCCAGTTTTCTAGATTCATATATTTTACATTCCATGTCCCAAGTATATAATGGCTGTTTGCAACTGTTTCTTCAGATGGTGAGTCATGCCACATCAGCAAATGAAGGTCTTTCAAGTTTTGCTCCTTCCACATCATTAAGGTCAACCCTTCTTCGAAGCAGCGCTCCCTAACTTTCCTTTGAACCCCCTTACCTGAGGGGCTCATCTTCTGGTACTGTGTCCCACTGTTATTCATAAGGTTTTTAGTAGCTAATCTCTCAAAAATGGGCCACCTCTTCCTTCTTCCTAGGCTAGGTTAGTCTGGAAGCACTGCTGAAAACTGTCTACCATGGGTGACCCTGCTGGTGTTTGAAATATCAGTGGCATAGTTTCTAGGATCACAACAACATACAAGCCACCACAGGGTAACAAACTGACACACAAGTACAGTAGGTCCCCCTTTCTGCCCGGTTTTGCTTTCCACAGAGGGAGGTGTGATCTGAACGTGATAAATGAGTAGTGTGGTGAAATCTCATGCTGACTTGCTTACACCATTCAGCCCGGGAAGCAAAACCTCCCTTTGTCCAACGTATCTGTATATACACAGTTATCCATCATTTATTGTTGTTAATCTCTCTTTATGCCTAATTCATAAATTACACTTCTTATCAGAGGTATGTATATAGAGGACAAAACATCATATTTGGAGCTTTGTACTAAGCAATTTCAAACATACACTGGAGATCTTGAAACATATCTCTCACAGATAAGGGTGGTTTACAGTTCAGTTATAGGAAACTGAGCATTATGTAGCCATTTGAGATTATGTTACCAGGTAAGGCAGGCCTCTTCCTCGTTAGTCTCTAACCAGGCTTCCCCACTTGCCTTTCCCCGCTGTCACCAGACAGGAACTTTCCATGCTTCCCTTTCTTCTTTGGTGCCCCTGTTGCCTTCATTAGGCCCTGGTGCTCGTCCCTCGGGAAGCCTCTGTGTAGCACAGCACTGATGCCTTCGCTGTTCACAAAGTCAAGACCTAGGTGGACAGGTGATACATTGACATGTGAAAATTTAAAAACGAAAGACGGTACATATTGAGAAGTCATACTCTTATCCCATCCCTTCTATCACTTCCACATTGTCATACAAAAGGCATTGTACTATAAACGCCCTTCTGAAACTTGCTTTTTTACATTAAATGATTATTCCAAGAACCTGTGAACATCAGTATATGTGAGTATACATGATCCTTGCATATCAATATTCTTTTTGACAATAACATTCTTTTCCATTGTGTGGATATATCTTGGCTTATTTAATTAGTCTTATTCTGAGGGAGGTGGTTTCCAATCTTTTGCTATCACAAATCAGGTTACAATGAGCAATTTCACTTATAGGCATTTAGGTATAGCTGTGGAATAAATTTCCAACATGGGCCATGGAATAAATTTCCCAACATGGGATTGTTGGCCCCAAGGATAAATCCACTGAGCAGTGGTGTGAGTGGCGATACCAGGAGGGTGGAGTGAGGGTGGGTTGGAAAGTGGGAACCGATTACAGGGATCTACATGTGACCTCCTCCCAAGGGTTCATAGGTTGAGAACCGCTGATCTAGAGGAACAATAAGCCTCTGTTCACCTGGGGATTTCTCAGAGACTTTCTTGCAACTCTCACACTGCCCATAGGAGGCATAGGTCCTGAGTGAGATGCCCCAGGTCTGAATCAGCCAAGAGCCTAGACACAGCTTCAGGCTGGATGGGGATTACGGTGCAAGGAATAAAGAAAGAGCTCCGTAAACTCCCTAAAACGGTAACACCTTCAAAGTATCTTTGACCACACTTATCCCATGAACACTACTGCAGCAATGTCAGCAATACTGCTTTTGTCTAGAAGGGAAAATATATCAAACTTTCCTTTTAATCGCTGTGTTAGTACAGGTAGACTAGAGAAACCAATTCACAGACACTCATATGTATATAAGAAAGAGCTTTATATACAAGAGCAAGTGAATATTGGGAAAACAAGATCAAGTCCTTAATACCGATCTATAAAGTCCTCTTCAGACTCATGTAACACATGCAATGACACCGAATACAGGAAGATCACAGGCAGTGGAAACATCTCAATGCTGGCAGGGGACTCCACGTGGCTCCTCCAGCTCCAGGGCCCTAGCATAGTTCCATGTGTCTTGTCAGCAGAAATGTCTGTCCCGCCTACGGCGAGCTATTTATCTCCTTAGCAGCCCAAATGAGGTCACCAAGTTGCGACCTGATTGACAGGCTAAACGCCATCCCTTCACTCTTAAATCTCAAATTGACAACAGATTATGTAACTTCCACAATCTCCATTCATTTGACCTCACTTCATCTCCTCAATAACTAGTAAAAGTAACAATATAGACAATGAAATATCGTTTGGTTTGTAAGAAGTATCTCAGCAGTCGCATGTGAGTTTTCTAGCTGCCTTACACTCTGTCTTAGAAGAAGGAAACTGCAATGCTCCCTAAAAGGCAGGATGGCCAGACTTTGTCTGGTGTCCAATGGACATTATCAGGAGGGACCAGTCCCTGGAGAAAGAAATCATGCTTGGAAAAGCAGAGGGGCGGCGGAAAAAGAGGTTGATCCTCCCGGAGACGGATTGACACAGGGGCTGCCAGAATGGGCTCAATGTAGCAACCGTTCTTAGGGTGATGCCGGACGGAGAGGTGGTTCATTCTGTTGTACAAAGGGTGACTATGAGTTGTAATCAGCGCAATGACATCTAACAACATACGGTCTCCTGAACCCCAAAAGCAGTTTAGCTAAGGACATCTCCATCGGTTTATCCTCCTGAGAAATCTTCTTGGCATACACCCCGAGGCCCCAGCTTCTGTGCCCATAGCTATCAGGTCAAGGATAAGTGGTTGACTGTGGAGCCAAGAGAAACCATCGTGTGTCCCGCCTTAGACCAGGCTCCCTGGACTCTCAGAAGTCTGATGGTCGTAGCACCTTCTGTCACAAAGTGTCTTCTTCTCCTCTCTAATTCAGTATTATGACTTCTCTTTCCCTAAAACAAACAGAAAAAAGGTATTGTACTGAGCAGTGGAGAGAGGGCTAGAAGTAGTCACCATTTTTTATCTCCTGATCTTGCATTAGGAAACAATAATGTCTTGCACACAATGCTCTCAGTCAGGTATTTTCTGGACAGAGTCTATGAGCATACGCTCCTTTTCCATTTCTCTAAAGAAGGGGGGAGGGGATGTGCACAGAGAGGCGGGTCATACTTTCCCGGCCCTGGCTGAACTTTAAAACATCTCTACTCATTAAACACTGGGCTCTACACTTTGCTTAACCCTGGAAGCCGGTTATCAGCCTTTGACCTTAGTCCTCCCTCCTAACCAGGTCCCTCCCCACCCCAGATTCCAGGACCTCAGTCAGATTTAGGGGAAATGACCAGTTTTCAGAAGGATTGCCTCAGGACACACTATCTCCACTCGCTCAGCTCTGGAGAAGATTCACCATGATGTTTTCGAATGGAGAGAGAACTGAAGCTGCTGGGACACGGTAAGGGGAGCAAGCTTTCTTTTGCATGTCTTCGCTGGGTCCCTCGTCCTGAAGGGCTCATGCGGATGGCCTTGGACACCTTCAAGGAGCTCCGAGCCTCTCTGTGGTGGTTACCAAGACCTGTTGGGAAGATGTCATTAGAAACTCCCTCCCTGCTTCCAAGCCTCTGCTAGAGTAAAGCCCTTCCTAAACCACACCTTAGGCTCTTTGGTCGAGAAACAAGGGGGATGCCTGCTCTTGTGTTCAGGTGCTGCTTTGAGCGCCAGCCCTCACAGTAGTCGAGGGAAACTCCACCGAGTGTTCCCCAGGGCTTGCCACACATCTGCAGAGGCACCTTTAATGTACGGAGGCAGGGGGCCTAAAAACTCTCTCTGTCTTCCGCTCTGTTTGCCACCATCTGTCTCCAAGGTCTCAGCGTCCTTTGACTACAGGCCCCAGCTTGGTTTCCTTTCCTCCCCATGAAACCCCCCCTCTATCCACAGCGTGCACACACACACACACACACACTCCCTTCTTGATCTGGGTCGTCAGGGGAGGCTACAAGTGAGGCTGGGGCTTGCCCGTTTGGGATTTTCTTTGGGCAGAACACAGCCCACAGGGGCAGTCTTGGCCTTCACTTGTATTTCCAGTGGTGGCCAAGGAACAAAATAGGAACGAGAAGGCCAGCAAGATCGGTAAGAGGAGAAAAGTGGGATTAAAAGTAGGGTTCTCTCTCTCTCTGCTTTGTACAAGGGGGCTTCAGAAAGTTCACGGAAAAATGGAATTAAAAGATGAAAAATGTCCATGAGCCTTTTGAAGCCTCCTCATATTTCTTTATACATTGCCCGTGGTGCCGCCACCTCCCTCTCTGGACCTGTGCTGGCGGAAGGGCAGTCGGAGAACAAGGACCCCTTGGTGCCCCCAGCTCCCAAGCAGGCTGCTTGCCCAGCAGATGCCTCCGAAGACTCAGAAGCTGTATACTCCCCTTCCTGTATGCACTCATGAAGATTTGACTGGCTTCTCTTCATGCATTTCTGGGGACAGAAACTCCCGGTCTCACCAGAGGCCTATTTCATTTTTTCTTGCTTATAAACTGAACAAGACTCACTGCAACCAAGTACATTCCAAGTGGCCAGAAAATTCCTCCAAATGTTGGATCAAAGTCTGCCTTTCCCTTCTTCCTCCGCGGGTTTCCTACCTGCTTACCCCAGCCATGCGCTGCCTCACCAGGGTCCTCCTCTGGCCACTGTCCAGGCCTGGTGCAACACTTCTGATGGGATCGGCCTGAGAAGAGTCAGGTTCAAGGACGAGGATTCCTTCTTTTAGTCTGGACACTGGACACACTCAGGGCCAAGAAGACTCCCTCTGGTGTTTCTGGAAACCAGAACACACCATTGCTTCATGTTGAACTGGTGATGGGTCCAGACTTTGTTCCACATACTGAGCCAAATATCTTCATTTGTTACTAGTACAATCAATCAATTTACCTCTGTTACACATTATCTTGGACATTGTTCTTTTATTTTCTTCTTCCAAAAATCCAAGCCAAACTCACTGCCTAAGTCAATGTCGGCTCATAGTGACTCTATAGGATAGGGTACTGCCCCTGTGAGTTTCTGGGTCTGTAACTATTTACAGGAGTAGAAAGCCATGTCTTTCTCCCTTGGAGTGGCTGGTGGTTTTGAACTGCTGACCTTGCAGATCACAGTCCAATGCATAACCACTCTGCAACCAAGGATCCTTCGATTTCCTTCTTCAGGATCCAGCAATCATTTTTAACTTTAGCATTGTCATTAGTCTTATTAACTCATCCCCCCCCCCTGAGGATTTGATAGGTATCCCATCATAATGCTGAATAATAATTAGAAGGAGCATGAGTAAAAACCCACCGGCATGTTCCTAGAGTCTTCTCTCCAAGTTGAAGTTCTTCAGTCCCTGGGGAGACACATATCTATCTAATGGTGTTACTAGCCAGCTTACATGTCCATGCCTTGCCCGCAAAGATAAGACGAGAGCCTTTACTTCTCGGTGCATGCTATGGAATGTCCCAATCCTCTTAGTTTGCTGATCTAAATAAGTTGTTTTTAAAAAGATGTGATTAAAATCATAAAGTAAAATGAAAAGGTGAGATTAGCTTGTTATATCTCCAATGAATTTGTGTTAATGGCTAGTAATCATATTCTTTAAAATATATATATTCTATATAAACCATTTTTAAAATAATCTTTTGATTTTCTTGATGACAGGATTAATTTGGACCCTCATGTGGTTTATTGGCAGCAATATTTTCCCCTTTTTGAAATGTTCTTGTTTTCAGTCCTTTGTGCCTCTCAGGTGCTCAAATTTCTCTTACACCACTAAGGTAATATATTTCCTGTTATTTTGACACTCGCAATTACATTTTCTCTAGATAGTCCCTTTAAAAACATCCAGGTAGTTGGGCACTGCACAGTGGGGCTAACAGATCACTAGACCAGCATTGCAGCTGACTGATTTGGGGCAACATCACTAGCTTCTATAGGGCAGGTTCCTCATTAATTTAAGATAAAGCTAGTCACATCTTCCTCCTTTGTTTGGTCTGAGAAGTAACTGTAGGCGAAGGTGACAGGTGTGTGCCAGGCACAAAGCAACACAGAGAAAATGGGGTTTGCATCTGATTTTTGACCTTCACTTTCTTAACTTCCAAGGTTTGTTCCAGCCTTGTTGATTTGATGATGAAACAAAGCTTTGGTTAACTTTGCACCATCTCTGCAAAGAGTGGATGTGTCCCTGCCTTCTAACTGCTTTGCACCTTCCTCGTGGTCTCAGCATCTGCTGATCGCAGCCCCTGTAGCTCGCCTCTCTTGGATCTGGGCCCGCCTCTCTTGGATCTGGGCCAGAGTTCGATATGTATCTTTTGACTTGTGACCTTTGAAAACGGACACAGCCACGGATGTCTTGTGTGGCCTCATCAGTGTACATGTCTGTCTCCTCTGTTTCCTTCTGGGATCAATCTTGTTCTGGCGGTGTCTGGCTGGGGCAGGATCTATCTTTAGCTCTCAAGTCTGGAATGTATTCCTGACCCCAGCCTATTGTCTCTCCCTTTGCCTCATGAAGTTTAAGACGACATGACCCATGGTGGCTCTCTCTAAAAGTTCTTGTCACTTTGCAGTCAAAGTTAAGTGGGTTGAATCTGATTCTTGAGCATCCTGTCAAAAGCAATGGACTACTCCACAAGTCAGTAATTTAACAAATGTTTTAAGCAGACTCAAAATTCACGTAGGGTTTCCTGATCGCCCCCTTGACAGTTGTCTTGCCCCTGTACCGGGGTCAGCATTGCCATTTCAGTTATCTGCACCACCTCTTCAGCTAGATCCTCTTTGTAAACCCCTTGGGGCCCCACCCCTTCTGCTTCTCCAGTTCCTCGTTACTCTCAAGCCTTTCAACAAACGTCCTCCTTAAACTCGCTGCCACGGAGTCCATTCTGAATCATGCATAGCAACCCTCTGTAGGAGAACGACCAGGCTTTCCACTCCCGTAAACAGTTCCGTCTCAGAAACTCACAGGGGCAGTTCCTCTCTGCCCTATAGGATTGCTGTGAGTCAGAACTGACTCGATGGCAGAGGGCCACCCTATAGGATATGCTAGAACTGCCCTTGTGGGTTTCTGAGACTTTATGAGAGTAGAAAGCCTCCTCTTGCTCCAGCAGAGCTGGCTGGTGGTTCCGAACTGCTGACCTTGAGGTTAGCAGCTGCTCAATGAGTAACCACTACACCACCAGGTGTAAACTTCCTCCTTAGGTCTTCAGGTCCATAAAAACCAAACCAAACTCAAAAAAAAAAAAAAAAAACCAAACCAAACTCATTGTCCATCGATCCCATCTGTGGAGCGAATCGACCTTCTTTCCCACATACTTGCCCATCTCAGGGCTTTTCCTAATTCAGTGATTCAACAAGTATTTAAGGTGTCAGTGCTGTGGCCAAGGCCCCAAAGATAACACTGCCCTTCCATCTGGCCCAGCTATGCAAAGCAGTGCTGCCCTGCCAGAATGTCCAGTGCTACCCTGCAAGGCTAGGGAGGTCAGCTTCGGAAGACTTTATCAGGAGCTCACACCGGAGTCTTATCCATTGAACGGTGTTCGCCAACATGCCGGTGAAAGGAGTCTTCCAGGTCAAGGCACACGAGCAGAGGTGCAGAAGGGAGAAACAGTACATACTCATAGAGCCTCAACAAGCTCATGGCAAGAACACAGGGCGAGGCAGGTCGTGGCCGGGTCCTTTGGAGAAGCAAACCCAGCAAAACATCTGAGGGTCTTAAAATTCTTCCTGGACAAATGAACTGGAAAGATAACGTCAACTTTTTGAAGGCCCTCAGTTAATTCATTCATTTACAAATTATGTTTACAGTTTTATTGGCACTTCATCCACATGTCATGCAATTCAATAATTCAATCATATCGAGAGTTGCATAATCGATTCTAGAACATTTTCTTCTTTGTTGTACGCATTGTTATTCATGTAATTATTTTTAATTGTGGCAAAAATATATCCAATACATTCTCCGATTCAACAACTTCTACCTGTGTAATCCAGTGCCACGGATTATGCTCTTCATGTGCACAGCCATGATTGATATCCTTTTCCAGATGATTACACCACCATTCACATAAATTCCATGCTGCCCAGCAAAAACTCTTCCTCCTTCACCCATGATAACCATTGGTCAAGTTTGGTTTCTTTTTTATTTCTTTTTTTGTTCCCTCGATACGATATTGCATTTACATATCATACACTTTCCTAGTTAAAGAGCTTTTAAAAAGAGTTGTATATACATCATCACAGTTCTAATGTTCCCTCCCCCTCTTCATGCATTGTTTGCTCCTCAAATCCCTTCACCCTCCCCACCCCTCGCCCCACCCCTACGTCCCTGATAAACCACTGCTTCAGTTACTGTCCCTCTGCATCCACTCCTGGGCTTCCCAGACTGGAACACCCAACAGAATCAATAAAAAACACAAACAACCAAACCCAAGAAGAAAGAAA